GAGCGGGCGAGCGAGCGCGTCGGCCTGAGGCGGCGCTTGTCCGTTGTTCACAACTAAATCTTGGTCGATATGTACCGTCGGCTGAGTAGTCCCCCGGTCGGCGGACTATGAAAGCAGCCAAAGTGATAAAGGCGTTGTAGAAGCCAGGACCTGACTGTCTCAAGGGGAAAAAGTTGGTCACAGTTTTGAGACCGGACTGTCTTACTGGTGGGTTCTTGACACAGGCATATGTAGGGGAAACGCATCGGTGAGACACCCTTCCTTCTTCCTATGAAAACTTTGTGAAAATATGCTAACCCTGAAGCTAGCAATATGTTGGTATGACTGCGTGCCCCCACAAAGTTGCCGCTGACTTCGATAGCGCAGATTTTTATATGTTCTACAAGCGAATACTTGCTGAATATTGCAGGCTGAAGGTTGGCTCTTTGCGCGGTTTGAGTTTCACTGAGCCTTAGCAATCCTCTAAAAGTAAGAAAGAAGGAAATGAAAAAGGAAGAATTTGTCTGAGGTGCCGGTGAAGAAAAGCTTCTGGAACCATAAGCTACCATGCGTCCGAATGAACACAGTGATTTCGGGTGTACAGTCTTTAGCGGCACTTTCTAGAACTGTGATTTCGGGTGTCCAGAGTGTGACGAGATATTTTGTTGAGAGGGGAAGGATGCTGGGCGTATGCTTCGAAGAACATCTAGCTGGCGAAAAGCGTGTAGGCTTACTCACATCACTTGGGAGGTATCGACTAGGAGAAGAACAGAGCAATGACATAGATATTAAATGTAAAATCCTAAGCTACGAAAATGAGATCAATGCTATGAAGATATTGGAAGTGTTGCACATCCGCGAGAGGGATCCCAAACCGAACAGCAGGAACGAGAGCATTGCCGCAACAATGAACTTCTGCCGTTCATTCCTTTTGGTGGGCTTTGAGATTACCGAGTAGTTCTTATCTGAAGACCTTCAATTGTGTCTCACTGATCCCTTCTTGAATCTAGAGGGACGACAACTCTGTTTTAACTACAGAAGGTTGGTTCCATGGCTGGGATCTTCTTGGTGCTAGAGTTTCTGCGAGTTGTTGTAACTGGGTTATCTCGTTTACCTCGGGAAAAACCATAAGTTCAAGCAGAGAGCAGATGCAGATTCATTCTGAGTTCTCATGAGCCCCTGCTGAACGAATACAGTCCTATGGATGTTGCTCAGCATCCGAGACTCAATCTCAAACTACAGCAAAATTATTTCCAAGGTTTCGACTGGAAAATACACTTGATTTCCTTCGAAGACCTCTTTAACAGTGTTTAGCACCACCTAAATCGTCAAGATCAGCTTCTATTAGTTTGGCAAGAAAGGCTTTGGACAGACGATGTCTTTCTACACAAACGTTTGCCCTCTCGTATTATCACTATATTCTAGAATAACCTTTACCGTCGGTTATAGCTGAAAAGGGAATATGTGAATGTAAATTTGAATTTGAATAGGCCATGAGCACTTTGCATGCGAGTCATGTCGTAATTGTTGAGATCAAACAGTTTCTGTAGATGGCGTCGCTTCTCCAGTACTCGTTCCGCACGCTGCCTGGGACATCATCAGTGCATTGGGAAAAGGCATCGGCAGCCATAGCATCGACGGTCGTTATTTTTGATTACGTCAAGTCCGGAGTTACTACTATTCTTGCTCCATTGACTAAATTGTACGACCGATGATGATAGACTTCTCAGAACGAGCAGTCATTTTCTAGTGCTATCAGTGTATTGGTCGCATTCGAAAAGCTCCGAATGCTCGTTTAACATCTTTGCTCATAGAAATTGGAAAGGATGTTGTCCACGAGTTACTTCTACAGGTCCAGTTAGTCACGGCCACCATCTACAGCAGGCGACTCTAGGAACTGACTCAACTGAGGAATACTGGTCAAAAATAGCCTTACTCCTACTGCGTGATAACGCTCGGCGTCGTATTGTAAAGGCTTTTCAGTCCAAATCATAAAAACTTGGCTGGAATTCCGTTCCTCAACCTTCCCATCCCCTGGACCTAGCCACTTCTGTCTGACGCCGTTTCTGGTACCTCATGTAATACCTAGCCAGAAATGACTTCGTCAATTTTGATGACTTTAAAAACATTGTAAATGACTTCTTCAACTCCCAGCTTTCGTCTCTCAAGAAGGGTCAACCCACTCGTTGGTTCAATTGATACTAATGGCGACAATACAGTTCAGTGCATGAGAGTTCAAATAAAAATGTGGAAGAAATCTAAACATGCAATCAAGGGTCAAAGATTACTGTATCAACTTAACCAGAATAGCAGCACATGAACAGGTTCGAATACTCCACTTTCCTCTAAAAAATAAAGCTGAATGCAGTCGAAGCTGGGCCAGACTGTCGTCATATCATAGGAAATGCCAATCTGGGTGACTCCTGGATGGGGCATTTAGAGCACACTTCGAGAAAAGACGCCCGAGACAACCAAGCCGTCCAAATTGCTGGCGTCTAGTTGTCGGCCGTTCTACAGTTGGTGCCACTTGAGTGCACGAGAATATTCGAGGCTATACGTATGTCTAGCTTTTTCTGTCGGGTCCCTTCACTCAGTATGGACAAATTGCCCGTCGAATGTACGGGATCCACGAAACATAATATACCTTTCATGATAATTTTGAGGTCCCTTTGCTAGGTAGAAAAGCGGAAGCGATAAACGATCCGATGAATTTCTGTAGTCTACTGGGAACGATTTTCGAAGTACAAATAAAGAAAGATTACTATAGAAGAAATGGTGTAGAAGGAAAATCCACCCAAAAGTATCTTCCTTGTCGCCATGGATCACAACTTGTTTTTTAAGGTTCCAACATGGGTGTCTCGTGTGAATGCTGCTGCCTCTGCAGCGCGGTAAGAACTCGTCTGCCTCTGACTGTGGATGTCGACGAAGATGACCATACTGCATACTAGACCATACTGCGCTGGACCCTTTTTTTGAGTCAGCAGTCACCATATGAGGTACTCGGAGGCCACAGTTTCTTCTCGATTGGAGTTCTCGGAGCCATTTTCCATTCTCTCGGCTACTCGCAGTGGCTTGTAATGTGCATCGCAGCTTAACGCTTACGCAAAGCACCTGTCTCCTTCCATGATTGGCCTGAAATCAATGTGGTTAATTGGTTGGCTGTCAGTCAATACACGGTGGAAGCAAAGCTCGACCGAATTTTCCTCTTAGAGACGTCACTAACGATGTTCTCATGAGGCTTTTTGGTCATCGTTCCCGTGATTACGAATAACCAAAATTGATTCAATTTTTTTTCAAAGGGATGTGATGACGGGCTTCCGAAAAACGTCATGAAACCGTTGCAGCCCTTATTCTTTCTTGAACAAATTGTCGTCAGTATGTCTGGGTACAGGTGTTGAGATCCAATAGCACAGGGTGAGGCTGTCAAACCGCACGATTCTAAGTGGTCAAAAACACACACGGGATCAGTTTTTTCAGTCATATACTGCATCAGATCTCAAGAACATAAGAGGAAACTCCAATTCAATGAGAAAAAAAAAGATGGGAAAAAATGTTTGTTTTTTGGGCTGGCGCAGTCAAAGTGCGTCATATTAACAATGCCGTTG